TGGCGACACCGGCCATTGTGTTCCCGTTACTCTGGTAGGCCTGAGCGCAAATTTTCGGAGTAGGCGATGAACAAATTTCTGCAAGGCTGGGGCCGTGTTGTGGAGGTTTCAGGACCATATTATTAGATTACAAGGATCTCCCACTGGCCTGTCCAGTTGATGTGGCTCAGTGGTTAGAGCACCGGTTGGAAATGCGCATTGTGGTATGAGGTTGCGGGTTTAAAACTCAATTACAACCTTGCGCATGGACACCGGTAGGGCGTTAGATTGACGCATGGCTGGACATACACTCCCCTTGGGCTGACGCATGGTACTATTACAGACACTGCCTGCGCACCACCCAAGGGTTGTCCATGGTGTTGTATGTTGGTTCTGGGCTTAGCATGGGTTGCTTGGGGATGTTGGTCTTGGGTGTTCTGTTGATCTCCCCAGTCTGGCATATCACAAGTTCGTGCCATTTCCGCTAGTCGTTCACATGGTAGAGTCGTTCAATTACATGTTATAAGGTCACAGGTTCGAGCTTGGTTCGGACCTTGGGGGGGTCCTTGTCCAGCTTAGTACCCCGTTCTCTCTTCGATATACACACATGATGCTGCCTATACATCTCGATACATTGATTCACAGAGCACACACAGTCTTCGGGCATATACATAGCTTGCGAATTATACATGGCCTACGGGCTAGATACACAAGTTTCCACACATGGTGCTGTCTGTACATCTTCATACATAGATACACAGAGCATACATAGCCTTCGGGTATACACATACATTGCGAACTACGCAACTATCAGACTGGGGGGGTCTAGTCACTGGGTGGGGTCTAGTATCTGCAGTAGGGACAGGTATGGCCCACCGGAGTTCCTACTGATATTTGGATAGAACTGTCTAGTGGCTATATATAAGGCTTAGACCCTGGGGTAAGGGTAGGGGCATATGTTGCTCAGGCCAGTCCGAGTTCCACCTGGCCTTGGGTAAGCTAGAGGAAGGACAGTAAGACTGCTTCAATGGGTGCTACCCTGTCTGAAACCTAGGGCCCAGAGTCTCTTGGGGCCTGTAGTAGATTGTCTGGGCCTGGCGTCCGAAGTTCCCGTTCGACAAGGCTCGTCCGATTCCGCTTCCACCAGGGCTGGGCAACCTATCAGCCATGGTGCCTATCACTGCTGTTCGGTCCAAGTTACTTGCCCATTGGTAGGGTAATGATCCTGAGTGCTGGTCACACTGAGATAGGACAGTGGGATAGTGGGTGCGCTAGGAGTATTGACGTGAGAATGGGATGGGAGGTGGTCTCATATTCCAGGACACCCGCGGCCTACTGCTCCAGGTGATCATTGTGTACTCAGTGACTGGCCTCTGCAACACCATGGACTTTCTTTAAAACAAACAAACAAACAAACAAACAAACAAACAAACAAACAAACAAACAGAAAAGGCTCCCCTAAAAAAAAAGGCACTGATCACGCCTGCAATTGGTCTATAAAAAGCTAAAACAAAACATAGAGATCCCTCTGATTGGGCCCAGAGAGCCACCATAAATCGAACAAACGCCACAGGACCTCAACGCAACACCAAGAGTGCGATGAATCTCCCGCGGCCGTACAATCTGTGGAATCAAATATCTCACAGTGCTGCAGCGAGGCCACTGCGCAAACTATGCCAATACAGAAATCTCCACACAACACCAGCTGTGCCACTGCTTAAAACACCCCAGAAGCCCCCATTTTTTCCATGTGTGTGCGTGTGGGAGGGGGGGGGGTAGGGGGGCGGTAGTCACCAGAACAAACAACCCCTTTTCCACCGAGATGAGTAGATCTAAAAATTGAAACAGCTTTACCTTCGGATCTTTGATGGCAGAAAAAAAAAAAAAAAAAAAAAAAAAAAAAAAAAAAAAAAAAAGGACA